TCTTGAATTTCAACCTTACAATATATATAAGATAACCCGATAAGGAATAATTATATGTTCCTTTGAAAATGATATGTCACACTTATTTCATAATTTAAAATTTTCTAAGAGCAATAAAGCAAAGATTTTTGAACAAAACATTTAAAACGAATCATAAATTCATCATTTTGTAGAAACTATAAAAAAACTTGCCATGCAGTGGAGAATCAATTTAAAATCATAAATAATAATGTAAACATTTAATTTTGACAGTTTCAGTAGACCTTTGAATACAATTTTAATATTAACAGCTGGTTCATTAATAGCTGGTAGTGTAAAATTATCCATATGGTCATAATGTAAATACAATTGCTGAGTGAACTTTAAAGGCCTCTGGGGCAGAGCCCCAATGAAATTTACCTCGTTTCTCTTTTGAGGGCTCACCTACAGACCAATACCTTTCTTTAGACACCCCTACCAAGTTTCTACACCCAGCCGTTCTCTCAAATTAGCTGTGACAAAAACCCCGTTTTCCTCCATTAGAATAACATGGGATGGGACTTCAAAGGCCACTGGGGCAGAGCCCCGAGGGAATTTACCACGTTTCTCTTTTGATGGCTCATCTACAGACCAAGACCTTTCTTTAGACACCCCTACCGAGTTTCTACGACCAGCCGTTCTCTCAAAATAGCTATGACAAAGAAAAACAGTTTCAAATTAATATATCGATTTTTTATAAAGTCCAAACATGATGTGTCATTTTTTCTGGAAAATTAATAATAACATGATTTCAACACAAATCCTTTGTTAAAATTACAATATTTAAAGGTAAATAGTATGTTTTAAAATAACTCATAATTATTTAGTAAGCAATACCAACCTTTTTATTTTAACAGTAAAACAATAGAAACTATATTCATTTAAAAAATAAAGCATTAAAATGGAATAAATAGAAAAAAACTGTTTCTTACACATCCTTCCTCAAAGGCTAAGCTTCCTTTTTCATTGTTGCACAACGTCAAAGGCCATTGTATTGAATTTTGATGCCATTATATACGAGTTCAAAGAGTCTTAGGGAACTTGTCACATTTTATTTGTAATACAGTATATAATAAAGTTTATCATCTTATGTTCACACTATGCGGGGATAAATATAGATGTATATGAAATATAATGGTATATTAATTCAGAAGTGTTTTAGACATATTGCTGTTTATAAAATGGCGATGATTAGTAATAATTGAAATTCTAACTGCTTTATCTCAACTAGAATCTTTTCTATTAAGATGTCAATATCTCAGAACGTATGGAGAGATAATATTTTTTATGATTATTCTCATTTTCGTGTCATACATTTAACTGGTAATTAGTTAACTTTTTTGCCTAAAAGACTTTGTAATTACAATCGGTCTGGATGGACTCCATTATTTAATCGCTCTAATGATACACTTGGGTCTTCAGGCCAAACATCATTAATTTTACTAACGGTCGTCAACAAACAAGATGGAGTTGAAACCTCGCTTGGCTGGAATCACTTGAATGATTATTTCACTTAAGGTGAGCCAAATTATTATAACCCGTTTTGCCGAAAAGCGTAATTTAATAAATGGAATAATTAATATCGTTACGTAAGTTTTTTGGAACTGTAATACAAACTAAATTGAGAAGAATCGTATACAACTTTGAACTATTCAGTTAACAATCATACAAAGATAAATTGAGGGGTTTAATACAATTACAAATCCGTTTGGTTTTGATTACTTCATGCAAAGATAGTTTGTTGCTACTTTAATAGTCTTTTTTAACACTCAAGCCTCACACAAATTTGCACGAATAAATCAATAAAGTCAAAATCAAATACCAATAGACGAGATATGATATAGCATAGCATGTTAAAATAAATTTAGAATACCACAAAACAATATTGAAAAAATTGTTTGATCTATAACTAGTTACAATATATGTCAATATGTGACTTATTGAAACGTATGTGAAAACATTAACAGAATTAGTCCAAAAGCGACAGTCGCAATTTAACCTCTATTTACTGCAGTAACTAGTTTAATTTCGGTCTGTAGACAACTTAAGTCTACGGTTACCCTTTCAACGTCCTTTTCTCCTAATCTTTTTAATTTTAGTCAATTGCCACCCTGCGAATACGATTGTGACAAGTTTTATCGAAGTATACACTTGTGTGACAAAAATGCTTCTTGGACAACAATAACAACTAATACCAATTTACCTACTTTAATTTGGGTTAAACATTCAGTGCCATTTTTTAATAATTTTTAAACTTACTCTTTCCATATACTTTATTCATATTTTGTTTTGGGGTCCCAATATTGTTTAAATGAAAGGTATTTTGGTTCTAAGACATCTAAGAAAATAAAAATCTGTTTCAAACATCTTATTTCGAAAACTTAATGATGTTTTAAAATTAGTCGTAGTGTTTAATTTAAAATTTAATATAACAATTGAAAAAAAATTTCTATCAACGATTTTTTAAGATTATTTGTTGGGCTACTGGTAATATAGCTCCTGACGTCATGAAGTCGACTCGTCCCACCGCAGACACTCTAGCACTGACCAGGGTCGCGCCGCTACCGCTGTTCGTCGTAATGAATATTGATTTTTTTTCCTTTTAAACTATGTTACATTAACAGTTTATTGTATCAGTATATCTCTCTGTTATGTACCAGTTCCGAGTCTACACGGCTTTACGATTACTGCTACCATCTCGTTGAGGCCACTTTCGCAGGTCGTCAAATATAAAGTAGCGTACACCCTGTTTGATAACTTTTGTGTCATCATTGTACATAAAGTACACCATAGGAAATATAATTCAATGTATTTCTGCAGGTTTGGCACACTTTGAAATCGTAAAACCCCTTATAGAACTATAGTAAGTTATGACCAAGGCAAAATGATATGCTCGTCATTTATCATCTTGTAGTGGATCGTAGTATCATTCTGTAAACCGATTTATAGGTTCAGGTATGCAAAAATATTTTGCTTCTAAAATGACCATCGTCTTCACAAAACCAGTGTGGGGCTTATTTAAGACAAGTAAATGTTAGCTTTCGAGGAGTAAATGCAAACATCGTGATCCTAAAACAGCACATCCTTTATTATTTGCATTATGAAAACCCAATTTACTCAATGTCCTTTGTAGTCGGTACGACGGTGCTTTATCAGTAGGCCTAGTAATTAAAATATTATAAAAACCTATCGAAATAAGACGATATTACTTTACCAACGTAATGTATATACTTTTTCCAAACGTAATGTCTTAAACATGAGCAAGATCTGAAACTACTGTATTTCAAGTAGCATCATTTTCGATTAAAAACTTGAGGAAATATAAATATCATAATTAATTAGTTCCTGTTTATAGAGTTAACCAATCTTGTTATTGCTAGGTTAGGTAACAATTTGAATGGTCTCATTAGATTTGCTTGACTAAATTCGGGTTAACATAATTTTGATATGATGATGTAAAAGATTTTTTTTCCAAATTAAATACGAATGAGGGGTTTTGGAATACAAAATATAGGATGTGTTGTTTTAGGACTGCTATGTTTACCATGATCTTTGTAGATTCGTAGCCGATTAATTGTGAACTAATTAATAAGTAACTTACAAATTAAGTGTATTAAGTGTAGTAAGAAATTAAAAATCGTCACAGACCAATAAAATACGTATGGCAAAATGAATATGGCCCATAACAAATAATAAGTACGATTTTCATGAGAAATCTATGTTACTTTGGATTATACCTGGGTCTTAAAACCCAACAAAATCATCTAAAAAATTAAAATTCTTCGATATTGAAGACCAGCACGTTTCCGTCGAGGAAATCTCGTACGTGCACAACGGATTGTATCCGACTAGTGTGGATGGCTTGGATGAGGCCGTTCAATCCTTGTCATCTGTCTTGGAAAATATTATGTCCGCCGATTCCCTCGACGGCGGGTTTTTGTTCACGGGGCAATTAGTGACTGTGGCCTTTTGGCGTCACCGAGAACACTTATATCTCTTTGACTCCCACGCCGTGAATAATATCCGCCGTAGAGATGTTGTCCCCGATAACAACAAAGCGAGGCTATTTCAATGTGGGAGTTTCACTGCATTGGCCTCACTTTTATTGGCAAATTCCGCGTTCGTCGGTGGAGAGTACAGCATCATGAGACTCAAGTTTTCGATTGACTGTACAAACCAACCGATCCAACATGCGGTTATTGATCCAAATCCTATTCCCCCCTCCCCGACGGTTTCAGATGCCATATTGGATGGCAAAAAAGGTCCCGGCAGACCTAAAAAGGTAAAACGCGGGCGTCCGAAAGTTTTGGACACTACGCATGACGAGCAAGTGCAAGCGGCAAAGAAGAAGTACAGAGAGACGCACTCTGATGACATCAGAGAGAAAAAAAGTCAGTACTCCCAGAACCATCCTGAGGTGAACAGAGCTGCTGTTGGCCGTTACAGCCAAAACCACCCTGAGGTCAACAGAGCTGCTGTTGGCCGTTACAGTCAAAATAACCCTGACATACACCGGAAGGCTGTTCGAGAGTACGACTTGCGTCATCCCGGAGCTTCTTCTGGAAGAGTGCAGATTTTCCGTCTGAAAAATCCTCTATTTACCGATCTTCGTCACTTGCCAGCTTCACTTGCTCGAAGCATTTCTGATCACGGTCCAATGGGGTCTTGGAAGGGGGAGCTGTTGAATGATATTCCAGCTTTTAGTCTTAAAAAAGTTAGTCTTTGGGACAATGATATTTTTAAATGTATGCACTGTGGCGCTCCACTTTTTGAGGAGGAAAAGGGTAGGAAGAAGTGGTGTTGCGGACAAGGGGCATACAACGTCCTTGATCTAAGTCCTCTTGACGAATCCTTCTATTCGGATCGGCGTTTTCTCGATAGGGCTCGTGCCTACAACGACCTGTTTGCGTTCTGTGCTTTAGAGGTATCTGGTTGGTTACAGGCACCCCAGTGGTCTCTCTTTCTTTAAAATCGAAGGGAGAATGTACCACCAGGTCTACAATCTGTCCGACCCTGGTCAAAAGTTTACCACTAAGGCTGGGGACGTTCAGTTTGTGAACCGGTCCCGTCTTTACATCGACGACGGTGAAGAACGGCGGAACATTGCCTTGGGTAGATCACTTGACGGTGACGTTGTTGACTCTATCAATCGATACCTGTCACAGCGGAATCCACGTCACTCACTATCGGCGTTTGGGTAGTGAGCCAGCTGTGAACGCTCACTTGGATTTCCAAGTGACAAGTAGATCTACCCATGGTCCCGTTCTAGGCGACAGGCAAACAGGCGTTGAGGTGCACGCTGTCATAAGCACCGACGAGACAGTTTACGAGCCCCGCAAGCTATCCGTATGGAAAGTTGGATCCGGAAGACCCACTTCTATCAACCTTTTCAGTCCCCTCATGGAACCCTTCCAGTATCCTCAAGGCACTTTGGGCTGGCATATTGGTCGCCGCGACAATTTTAACAACAAATTGTCCCAGTATGATTATTCCCGTTGCCTTCTGCTGTCTGAGCCTCGTTTCTCACACCTCGGCCGACTGTCTCAAGCTTGGCAGGTCGAAATGTATGCCAGATACGAGGACGAGAAGCTCAACTACATCAAGTTCACGCAGACGAAGGCAGCTGAAAATGCCATGAGGATAGGGCCGTTGGATGAGATTGAAGCGGCGAATCGTGGTGGACGTCAGGTCCTCAACGACATTAACAATGACGAGACAGTTCAGGGGAAGGGTGGGGTACAGGCTGGAAAGGTTTACCTCCCAAGTTCGTTTACCGGGGGGCCGAGATATATGAAACTTCGATATGAGAATGCTATGGCATTGGTCTCACGTCTCGGCTTCCCCACATTTTTTCTCACATTCACTTATAGTGCGACTTGGGTGGAGAACAAAAAAGCCGGTCCTCGAAATAGCGGTCGCAGTGATCCCAGCACGGCCTGCAGAGTTTTCTATATCAAACTGCTGGAACTCCTCCACGATTTGCGCAGCGGAGCTATGTTCGGTCGGTCCATCTACATAGTCCACGTCATCGAGATGCAGATGCGGGGCCTTCCACATGCCCACATCGTGTTTAAAATCGATGGCGATGGACCAGTGCAGGCTTCGGACATAGACTCCCTCATCCGCGCTGACATTCCATCTCCGGAGGAGGCAGGAGGCCGATTAAGGGCGTTGGTTCTGCGGCACATGATCCACGGCCCTTGTGGTACGGATCACAGGACCGACTTCCCTTGCTGGGACACTGCCAAAGGCAGCTGTTCAGAATTTTTCCCCAAACCTTCCTGTGAATCAACCCATGTAGACGAGAGGGGTTTTGTTAAGTACCGGCGAGACTATGATAATGAGGGCAGCATAACGTCAAGGAACAGATCCATTCCTGTACATGACGGCTGGGTCGTGCCGTTCAACTCAGCATTACTTCTTAAATACGAGGCGCACATCAACTTGGAGGTAGCTTCCACTCGGCGTGTGATCAAGTATCTGTTTAAATACCTCATGAAGGGTGGCTCGCTTCAGAACGTCAAAGTTACTCCTCTTAGTAAACAAGACGATGAAGTTGAGCACTACGTCACGAAGCGTATGGTGGGAGCCAGCGATGCATGCTGGCGTCTCTTGGACTTTCCCATCTCAAAGTCTGAGCCCACAGTCGATTGTCTCCCTGTCCACCTAGAGGGAAAACAGACTGTGTGCTTTCGCCCTAACAACTTGACACACGCCACTTCGGGAGCTACCTCTGACCTGCTCTTGTATTTCAATAGGCCTCTTGACTCGGTATTCGACGATTTAACCTACCAGTCTTTTTTTGAGCAGTACGTGATTCATAACAAACGCCCTAGTAATGCTGAGGTGTACGACCATCCAGACGGCAAGCATTTCCTTACCTCAAGAAAGCGTGGTCAAAAGATCTGTCGTCTCTTCTGGGTCTCGCTAAACAGAAGCGAGCAGTACTTTCTTAGGCTCCTTTTGATGGTCATTCCGTGCCGGGGATACGCCGACCTGCTCGCTCGTGGTGGTGATGGTTGCACGACATATCAACAGGTTGCGCGCACCCTCGGTTTGGTTGAGGACGAGGACGAGTACCACCAAGCCCTCAAGGAAGCAGCTCGTTTCATGGTCGGCCCGAGGCTCCGCTCTTTCTTTGTCCTTCTGTGCAACATGGGAGCTCCTGCGGCCCTCTTGTGGGATGCTTTCCGTGACGCATTGTGCGAAGACCATTTGGAGCGGAATCCTCTTGATCACGAGGTTGCGTACAAGCTGGCTCTGATTGAGATCGATCGAAGCCTTCGACGTCAGGGATCCTGCTTGGCCGATCACGGTCTCCCTACTGTAGACGACGACACGACCGAACTGGGGAGGGAACTTCTCATCTACGGTGAAAATCGTCAGAGATCACTTGTAGATGAGTGGGAACCTAAACTTTCCCGCGACCAGAGGGCGGTCTTCGATTATGTTCGGTCTATACTGCAGGGCCAAGTCTACAGCCGGTCTAAAAAACTGATCTTTCTTGACGGACCCGGAGGCTACGGCAAGACCTGTCTAATACATGTTATTCTTGCATACGTCCGTAGTCGCAACCAGGTCGCTATTGCTGTCGCTAGCTCCGGCATTGCCGCTGGTAATCTGCCAGGTGGCACGACAGCACACAGCATGTTTCGGCTACCACTTGATCTTGGCGATGGCACTGGATATTGGAACTTGACCAACGGATCTCAGCGGGCAGAACTCATCAGAGCCGCACAGCTCATAGTTTTTGATGAGGCCCCGATGGCTCACCGGTACATTTTTGAAATCATCGACAGATCTCTGCGTGACCTCATGAATTCACCTGAGCCATTCGGGAATAAGATCTTTATCTGCTGCGGGGATTTCCGTCAGATCGCACCAGTTGTTGCCAAGGCTCGTACTCCGGCCGACATTGCCTGTGTATCACTGCGTGCGTCATCTCTTTGGTCAAGTTTCCAAATCTTTTCTCTGTCTACCCCTCACCGGACTTCTGGGTCCACTGCCTACTCTGACTTTCTCCTTCAAGTAGGCAATGGAACAATTTCATCTGTTCCATTTGGGGAAGGCCGTGACTCTGTTGCCCTGATCCTACTGTCCGGTGTGAAATACGTGACATCCCTTCCCGACTTGATCGATTTTGTGTTTCCTGCTTGTGACCTACACCACACAGACAGAATTGCTGGCAGGTCCATTCTTTCAACCATGAACGCCAATGTCCAGCAGATCAACAACACCGTTCTCAACCTGATGGACGGCGTCGTTCATGAGTTGAGGAGTGCGGATTCTGTGGACAAGGAGAACGACGATGGTATGGATGTAGACGTTCACTTGTTGAACCAAGCAAGGGTGTACCAGACCATGTCCTGCGACTCAAGATTGGCTCCGTGTGTCTCGTCATGAGGAACTTGAACATTGACAGCGGACTCGTAAACGGCACTAAAGTGATCGTGACGGCAATAAGACCTCGTCTGATCACAGTGCGACTCCCTGGACAACATGATCCGATTTGTATTCCCCGGATTCAATTCGTTTTCCCGTTCGTCGAGGGGTCACCGCTTCGTGTCCGCCGTCTTCAGTTTCCTCTCATGCTGGCATATTCCATGACTGGCCACAAAAGCCAGGGCCAGACGATTGATCGCGTCGGAGTCGATCTTCGCAGTGACTGTTTCACTCATGGTCAGTTGTACGTCCTGCTCAGTAGAGTCAGGCATCCAGACCATATAGTCGTCCTTGTCCGTCCCGACCGTGTCCAAGGGGGAATCGCATACGCGAAAAATATCGTGTATGACGATCTCCTCCTATAACCCTGACTTGACTTTAGCTTTAGGTTGTTGTATATATTTCCTTTAAGTTTTTTCTTTAGAAATAAGTAGTTTTTTGTGTGTTTTTAGTATTCTAGTTTGGCAGTACGATAGGGGGCCTGCCTTATCAAAAGTCCCCGTTGTTGTATATATTTTTTTCCTTCTTTTTATTAGTTAGTTAAGTTGTTGTTCATATTTCTTTAGGTAGTTAGTAAAGTTTACTAACTTGTATATTTGTAAATAATTGTAAATATGGTTCCGACGTTTCCTGGCCTCCTCGTGGCGGAACTGGATATGCCATAAAGTTTATGGCTAACCGACAGGGAAACAAACATTACTTGATCTATTTTCATAAATATATACATGAATATCTACTATAATCTATTTTATTAATATAACACTTTACTATTATCAACTTATTCACTTATCAATCTACTTATCTTATACAAAATTTTACTGACTTGTACATGTGTTAATAATTGTAAATATGGTTCCGACGTTTCCTGGCCTCCTCGTGGCGGAACTGGATATGCCATAAAGTTTATGGCTATCCGACAGGGAAACAAACATTACTTGATCTATTTTCATTAATAAATTTATAAATGTATACTAACATCTGTTTACTTGAAATACTTTAGCTGTTAATATAAATAATTGTAAATTAATATGGTTCCTACGTTTCCTGGCCTCCCCGTTGCGGAACTGGATATGCAGTTTATGGCTAACCGACAGGGAAACAAACATTACTTGATCTATTGTCATTAATAAATTTATAAATATTTACTAACATCTTTTTACTTGAAATACTACAACTGTTAATATAAATAATTGTAAATTATTATGGTTCCTACGTTTCCTGACCTCCCCGTGGCGGAACTGGATATGCCATACAGTTTGTGGCTAAATGACAGGGAAACAAAAATAACTTCACCTATTTTCATAAACATATACATGAATATTTACTATGAACTATTTACTTAATATAATACTTAACTATTCTCAACTTATCAATCTATTCTAATATTTCGTGAAATGGTTATTACTTCAAAATCGATTATCGCTATTACAACCCTACAAAGAATTTAGAAATGCTTAAAGTGCTTTCTAGACCACTTCTAGGTGTGCTACGGACTTGAAATTTCCCCGGTTTCTTGGTGATGGCCCCTTACCCCTTCCTAAATGACGACTAACAGCTAGGGGGCCTGGGGGCGGAGCCCCCAGCGAGCCAAGGGCGAGTTATATTTTATACACTTTCAATAACACACTGACGACAGGCTTCTGCAACAAGAGACTTTTCAACAATAACGTGGCCATCTGGGAACAGCTGGGAAGCAGAACTAATCTTCTCCCAAACAAGGACATCAGAATATTTCAGTCCCCTCGTGGAGGTTTAACATAGCATATGAATAAAACTCGAGGAACAAAAGGTTGATTTGTATAAATAATAACAATCGGTATAGAAATGTTCATATTACCTTCACAGTTTATGCGACTGATTTAAATGAATAGACTTTGCACCACCTGCGTTTGTATTGGCCTAGCTCAGGGAGGAGAGGGGTCCACTTGCTTCAAACAAAGGTGGAAAAGGGGTTAAGGTGTATATCCAAGTTGGTTGAGAAGTAAATGCTTTTACTTACATGGGGTGCCACCCTGTTGACCTATATAGCTGAGCAGGATTAAGGACAATACTGCAGTGGTAAGGCAGCTTCCGTGTAACCTCTGCCATTTAATAAAATAAATATATTTTAAACTAGGTCCTAAACTTACTTTTTTGTAATGTACAAAAACCAATTATAAAAAGATCTCAAATAATTATTCTAAACACCACAGTCACAACCTAAGTATGAAAACAGTAACTGATGAAAATATGATTTGAATGGATTGAAGCATGGAAATAAAAATAGGTATAGTAAATGATGAAAAATTAACTTAATGTTGACACCTAATAAGTTAAATTATATAATTGAAAGTATAGATACAAGTTGTATCTTTATGTTTAATAAATTTGGTAAAATTTGTATACAAACAATAAAAAATAGTAAGGCAAGAATGTGTACCCGTATGTAGTCAAATATTAGTAATCAAATACCTATAGGAAATATTATTTAATTGACGAGTGTTGAAGCACAAAATAGACCAGAATGCCAAAATAAATACTAACAATGAATGAATATAATAAATTGAAATCGGTCACAGAGTTCTGGTAAAATAAAGAGATTGAAAAATACCCCCACCGTAGCAAACCTGCAGACTAGGTAAATTTCCATTTGCCTGACGATTTTGACGTTAATCTGTTTAAATAAAAAGATGTTTAAAGGTGCCTCTGTTTGCTGCTAGTGGAAGAGTAATAAAGTGTGTTTTGTAAACATTTTAATAGCTTAGTAAAAAAAAGTTTTGCCAAAGTTTTATCAAAATATATCCAAAAACAAGCAAATTATAACAGTTTAATTATTATTCTTTATAAGAACAACATTCGAATTTTTAATTTACATTTTGAAATTTTCTTCGTAACCACCAATAACCGTAAAAAAACTTCCATATACTAAATTTTTTTTTTTCTCCAAGTTCTTCAAAATAGTTTGGACATAAATCAGGATTTTTTGGTTTTGAGGGAAATAATTAGAAACCCCATTTTTACCACCCCCAGAAAACCCCCTACAAAACTCCGTTTCCATGGTCCGATCACTTCCATGGTTCGTAAACTCTTTCGAATAAATGTGGGGTTAAACGTGTGTACCAAATTTCACCGGATGATTTTTCTAGAGTTTTCGTGCTAATGGATACATGAATTTGAACGGATGGTTTATTTGGCCTCTGTGGACATAAAAACGAAATGGTAAATCGGTCCAGAGTCCAGGTCTTACCATGACACCTACGGTAATAGCTTTGTTATTAATGGTCCGATTTCTATTTTACTTATGTATATAGTTATGTTTCGTCAAGACCTGTAAAATGATACTAAACTCGACTATACTTGCTATTTGAAGATTTTGAGTTACCCCCTACCCCCGCTACCCCCTAAGGGCAAAATTTTCAAAAATTACCATAGTTATTGTAGTCCATTATATCCAAACAAGTTGCCGCAAACCGATTTCAAATATCTCGAAAAATTAAAAAGTTAAAGGGGGTGCAAGTTAATTTTCAGCTACCCTTATGGTTATTTGGATTTGAACCGTTTTAGGGCGCCATTTTTTATTAGTTGGCCGATTTTGGTTTTCTGGATGCCAATTGTTATGTTTCGTCAAGACCTGAAAAATTTATATCAGGTAAAATGTATGTGATGATTATGGTAACCCTACAACGTGCCCTAAATATAATATTTTATGGAAATAGAATACACGATTTATAGAGACATTAAAGATTTATCTTTTGGGACGGCGAAAGAGATAGCTCGACGCACCTGCGACTCAGGCTTATATGTTTTCTTACATTATGTTTTAAACTACCAGGTTTACCATTATTGCTTGCGTATCACTTTGAATGTCACTAATTATTCATGATTATAGATTTATATCCAGTAGGTCATGACACAATATATCTGTAAACTATTTTTGTTCATCTATAGTTTGTTTTGAATTACAGATACTTTCATTACAATTTTATAAAAAAGCTCCTGGATTTAAGTTATTAGTTTTACTGTTGACTTTGCATCTGTTCACAAACAGTTTTACTTATAATTGAGTGATATTTTTAAATACTCCTTAATGTAGTTTTTAACAATACAATAATTGCTTCCCCATGATTTTTTTCTAAATATTATATTGGATTTAATAATAATATTAATTGCATACTCACATATGCATTGATTACGGTACAAATGGAGAACTTGTATTTGAAAAGTTGTATGCAAGTAATTGCATGTGGATTATTGTTTGCTTGATGTGTACTATATTCATGTATCGTTTTGAAATCACCGAGCCGAGCCGTTCAGTTGAGGAACGTTTGCTGGTTTCAAATGAAAACCTAGTTACATGGGCTGAAATTTAACTTAGTAATAAGTATCCAATGCGTTTGTAACAATACTTAATATGTTTCTTTTAGCGAGTCAGGCAGAGCTTAAAAAATAAAGCACTTACCATCAAATAACATATTATTTTGATACACCCACATTCAGTATCACGAGAATGGTGGTTAAAAATATGTATTTAAGGCCTGTATACATGATTCTTCATAACAAAACATTATTAACAAGGATAAGCATCCAAACCTACAGTAGCGCTAGTGACACAGAAATTTATGTTTCTTAAAAACAAAGTTTGTGGGTTAAAATAAGCATAGTATGTTTATCAGATATTTTGATAATATACTTCAAACTAAACAGTTAACAGTAGACCTACTTGAACCCTTAGTGGAATTATGGAGGTTAATTAATGCCTTCAAAACGGAAATAAAAACTTTGACGGTTAGGGGAGGAATTCCAAAATCATGGTCCCAAGACTTTAAGCAATAAAATGTCTAAAATACTCCGGATAGCCAGTGGTCAAAGTACTCGTCGTTAATTAAAGGTGCTGATTCAATTCAAAGCGTGATGATTTCCAGATCCAGAATCTATTTATCATTAAACTGTCAATTAATGATACCCCCTGACAGTTAGATAGCAACAAGTCCAGGGTTCGGACTGTTATATAAAAAAAAATAACGAAAAAAACTGTATATATATAGACACGAATAACATAAGTAAATGTGACTTAAATACGTAGATTTATGTCCAGGTTTAGGTAAATAGTTCCAGTAGTTCGATTATAATGTAAGGATATATTTTATATAGGTTTAAAATTTTTATTGTAATGTATTTGTACACTTAGTCTGGCTTTAATCTACATGGCCATTCATTTATGGGTGTGGATGTCAGTATAAATGGATAAGTGGATCAGTATAAATGTATCAGTATGCTGTTTGTTTGCAAATTGTGGAAATGTGTTGATTGAAATAATGTAACTATAACATAAAAGAAGGTGTATATCTTACTTGCACTTCTAGTTTAAATATACGTAATGTAGCCA